TGGTTGATTTGCACCAAATGATAAATCCTTGTAGTGTAGGGACTATCTGTCTATCTTTTACCTCAAATATTCTGCATGTCTTAAAAATCCATCTACATAATTGCTTCCGTTTTGAGATAAAATGGCAAATTTGAAATTAGTTTAAATCGAGAAAAGTAAACCGTTTTCTGTTAAGAAGAAACCACCATTCTAACATTACAGGAGCTCATTGTTTGGCAGGTTCTTTCAGTTCTGGTTATTATTTATTAATATTATATCTGTTAGTGCTGTGTGTGTGTGAGGCTGGCTTGCCTGAAAAGTTTGTCTCATGTGAGCTACTTTGGGAGCTGAGGCCTGAAAACCTCTGGCGTGTATCGAGCCAGCTCTCCAGTGTGGACACTGCAGTAATCAAAAGGTTTTTGGTGTTAATTAGATGGGTCAGGATGATCTTTGCTGTTGTAGTATTTCTATCCATTCCCCAGAGGCATCACAGCAGACAGATTTCACACAGGGAGTTGGACATTGTCAGCACTAGATGGTGATGTTGAGCAAGGCAAGTGTACTGTAAGCCTGCGGTTGGTCTACAAGACTTTGTAGTGCTGATTTCTCGTACGTTCAAGGAGTGTGCAGAGGGTTCAGGTCATTTGTCTTCAAAGATAGTTCAAGTAAATTGAATATTCAGAATATTTGTATTCAATGCCTTGAGCATTGTAGCTCAAAGCCAGCAGGCAGCCTGACAGAGAGGAAGAGAGCTGGCAAGTGCTCGACAAAAGTGCTATTCATTTTCTGTCTCGTGCTTTTCCTCAGCATACTGTGCTGCTAGGAGAATATGCTGTGCCATATGTCATAGCGACATCTGTCACAAATGTGCTCTTGCAATAATAGTAATGCAGTTTTTGATGACTCCTGAGCTCTTACTTTAATTAAATGAGCTTTACTTTTAGGGGTGTGTGGGTGGCTGATGTGGTGGTGGTGGGCTAACAGTTCAGTTCAAGAATCATTTAAGTTGCCAGAACTGTGTGCAGGAGATGCTCCAGAAAGACGAGACAAGAGGTTATAAGAAATGCAAAACAAAAAAAAGTTGCATTTAGACTACGGGGAGAAATGCAGTGTAAATGAAGCTAGTGGCAGATGGCTGCAGCCTTTCTGAGGAATAGACCTGAGCCTCACTGGAGCTCATGGCTTGCACTTGAAGTGAGTTGGAGTGATGCTCGACTGAAAGAAGAGTACAATTTGATATGTAAATGCTCCCTGTTGTCTTTCAGGTGAATATATTTCTGCTTTAGTTAAATGTACTCATGTGATCTCAATTATCAGTGCTCCTAAAGCTAAAACACAAGGTGAAATTGCAAGTTTGAAATAGTTTTAAACACATTTCATGCTTGTTTTGAGCAACCTAGCATTGAATTTTTGTATTGTCACGTTTCAGGTTGAAGCCATTCTTTAAAAAAAATATCAAACACCAGTTAATTATACTTAGGGCAGCCTTCAGTATTCCAGCTAATTATTTGTGGCTGCAGCAGTAGGGATCATTAATTGTGAATTTATTTTCAAGCCCATCTGAAAACAACACTTGGCCTGCTCTGTGGGCCACATCTTAATGATTGCTCCCTCCACACCCCTGCACTTGTGATTTAGCCTTCTAATGGTAAACATAATTCCAATCACTGTTTAAAGAATTACAGGCTGTTGGCTGTTGAGGGCAGAGTATTGAAGTGTGTCGCCAGCAGAAAATAGTTCCTCCAGGCCAGCTGCCATCCTATGCATACAAACTGAGCAGTCGGCCGCAACCACAAAGCTGTTAAACACCTGATGTGGGAGAGAATACAGGAGCAATACTGGAGCAAGCGGTGCGCTGTCCCACTGGGCTTTTGTGGGGCTAGTGGAGGCATTTTTTTTGTCCCTGAAATTCAATGATGTTTGTGCAGAGGGCTGGAAGAACTGTTTGTCAGTTTACCAACACATTAAAGGATACTTTCCATTTCCATTCCTATTTCATTCCAAAAATCTTTTAATATTCATGCTCATTGTGGAGGGGGGAAAAAATTGCTGCCTGGAGCACGTCAGGCAATATTTGCAAGAGATAAACGATTCTGGGCACAGAAAATGTTCTGTTTTATACACAAATGTCTTATGAAGATTTTAAACTAAGCTGTAATGTGTTTCAGATTGATGCAGCCAGTAAAAGAGAGTGGGTCTCATGTTTTTCTTATTTTATCATGAAAGGAAATTTTACATTTGTATACTGGGATTTTGTGTTTGTCTGTTGCAGAAAAAAAAACTCAGGTCTTCTGTTCCTTAACTCACAAACATTAACATGTATTTCACACAGAAACCCTCTTATGAGGAAAATTGAATAGGTCACCAAGTTCTTCCTGTGCATTTACTGGATAATGCAGTAAATATCTGGCATAATGCTGCCAAACACTGACCTCATCTCACAGCTGCTGGTGCATGGATTACTCAGTGTGAAAGTCTGAATTGGTCTGTCCATCTCAGTCTGGACAGGTCCTCGGTGGCAGCAGCAGCCTCCGCCGCTGTGTTTCCAGTCTGCTGCACCCTTTCAACTGGGAATCCTCCATATTCTGTCAGATCAATACATATAATCAGTGTTGATAAATGGGAGAGTGCTGGCTGTTGTTTCTCAAGGACATGTTATATTGGGGTTCCAGCTGCCTTTGCATAGCAGGTTTTGCTTGGAATCCTCAAGCTGCATTATTGCACGTAAGACGGGGAAAAGTTCATAGCATGAAGCTTCCCGGTGTAAGCAGGGGTATGTCGCAATGTGATTCAACCTTTTGGGAGGTTCTTGTTTTAAAAGGTTTTCTTGGTCTCTCCTTTTCTTGACCAACTGCTCGTCTGTGTGCACGTGTTTTGTTTATCGTGTCAGAAATAGAGATCAAAATCTAGAGCGTTATTTATGGGGTTCCTAAACAAAACCGGCTGAGAAGGGGTGTGTGTGTGTGTGTGTGTGTGTGTGTGTGTGTGTGTGAGGGGAGAGTTATGAATTATGGAGAGACTTTGTCAGGAAGTTTGAGCCCCGTTCTTGCATTTTCAGGATGAGGCAATGGCAAAACATCAGTCATGAAATTCAAATGGCTCATAAGGTGGAGGTAAAAGGGAGAGACCATTAAGGCCAGCAGTCCAGTGGCTCTCAGCATCTTATTCATCCTGCAACAAAGGCAGAGCTGAGGAGGAAAAAGGAAGAAAAGCAACATGAAAGACTAAAGTGGTTCTGCCTGGTGGGTGCTTTGGAGGGAACAGGAGGGGGGGTGATGGAGCTGACCATTACAAAATATCATGAATGTTCTCCTCGAGGCAAATGGATAAGTAACACATTGCACACAAAGCAGACGGGGGCTTCAGCATGTGGTTGCTGCACAGAGAGATGGAGCAATAGTTACAGAGCAATGCATGATGGGACTGGCCACTAAGGGTTCGGGAAGTCGCTGTGGTCTATTTGACACAGTCTTTGAAAGTGGATGGATGTGTTTTTTTTGTTGTTGTTTGTTTGTTTGCTCAGGGGGATGTTACATTAAGTTGAGGTTTTCTAGGAGAGGAGCCTCACTTAGGGTCGCATGTTGTTTGTCTCAGTCCCTTTGTGGCGAGAGCTCCAGTAATCGGAAGTTCCACGATCCCTGCTTTGCTCATTGTGGTGTGAAGGTATAGAGCTTAAAGAATTACTGAAAATTAATCTGAAACAAATTTGACAAGTGCCATTTTTAAAGCAGAATGCAAACATAAATAACAGAATTTGCTGGTTATCTTTGCCTTCTGCAGTAATAAATTGGATATCTTTGGTTTTAAACTAGACAAAACAAGATATCTGAAGATGTCAAGCTGGGAAATTGTAATGGCTGGTTTTCACTGGTCTGACATTTCATAGAACAAATGGTTCATGGAGAATAGTATGCAGATAATGAATATTTTAATAATAATATTTTAAATTTGTTGCAGTCATAGGTAACTGTCTCTTCAATCAGATTTCATCGTGAACCTCTTGTGTGGTTGAATGTGTTGTTTGACCATCACCGGTGAAGGCTGCAACTGTCCTACTAATGAATTTATCAGCCTATTGATTTTAAATCACTTGATTTGGACAGCAACATCACTGCAAGACAAAGAAAAGCAATACATCCTCTGATTTAAGGATATGAAACAAAGAAAGGGCTGGCTTAAATAATTAGTCAGTTATCAAAAGTGCTGTCAATTCATTGTGTGCGTATCAAAGTATTTATTCATTGACAAATAGTTTCAGCTTTAGTTGAATGTTAAATACTTAAAATGGCCAGTGTTTACATTTACCTGATATCAGTCTTTGCAAATTACACAGTCTCATTTTGGAAACTGTCACTTCTGAATTTTGGAGATTGTAGCATGAATTTTTCACAGTTTTCTGACAGTTCATAGACCAAATGATTAATCAATTAATTGTAAATGCATTATAATCTGCAGAATTATTGATAATGAAAATAACAGTTGCAACCCTAATTTCAGTAAATAATACACTCATGTTAGTGTTACCTGGTGATGCGATTGAGACTTTCATTGCATCCTGAGAAGATGAAATTAATATGAATGCAGTGCTGCATAGTCTTTGCTGTAGTCTGACCTTGGGGAACATGCAGCTGTAAATCTAATCTCATCTCAAAATCACTAGTGGAGCCTGTGTGAAACCTTTTTCTCTCACTTCTGATCAGATTCATTTTAGTTGCCTAAAGGTTAGCGCTGCCGTGTTGGAAAAGACCTGCTGCTTTGTGCTGTTAATTTCCTCAGCCTTCATTTATATCTAAAAGTAATAAAACTTTATTTCCATATAAAACATG